GTGGCTTGCTTGGATCTGGCCACGTGTGACCTTTTTTGGTGAGGTGCTTTGTTCTATTTTTCATATTATCTTGGCCAGTGTTTTACATCGTTGATATGATGAGTTACTTTCTCATTAGTGTGAGGTTAACAGGCTTATAAGCATCTTAAAGTCTGGTGTCTTACAGTCTTTGTAAGTTTTTTGTCATGAAAATGAATCAGAATGATGGAGACTATGTACTTAATTGTAACCTACTAATCTCTCCCCCACCTGTAACCACCCTCTTATTGTAAAATAGTGAATATACTAATAAAGCAGACTATTTCACAGCAACAGGCTCTTTGGTATTCATTTTGGACACGAGAGAGAATTTGTTTCTTACACCTGTTCTGTTCATTGCAGGGGACAAGGTAAATGTTAAAATCATTACTGGACTAGGCCTAGCCAGTTGCTCGGTGGTTAGAGCATTGGCCTGTGTACTGAAGGCTCTTGGGTTCAGTTCTAGTCAAGAGCACGCAGGCTCCATCCCTGGCTCAGGTCAGGGCTCATGTGGGAGGGAACCGGTCGATGTTTTTCACATCCCTCCTACTTTCTCTAAAAATCAATGGAAAAAATATCCTTGGGTGAGTATTAATAAACAAAACATTACTGGCCTAGAAGCTTATCCTTCTAAACAGGATTAGGAGGGAGGGAATCAGAATCTTTTTTTCTTTTAATACCTTGAATCATAATAGCACCATCAATTTTTAAAATATATTTTTATTGATTTCAGAGAAGGAAAGGGAAAGAAAGAAAAACATCAATGAGAGAATCATTGACCAGCTGCCTCCTGCATGATCGCCACTGGGGATTGAGCCCGCAACCAGGCCTGTGCTCTGAGAACTGAACTGCAACCTCCTGATTCATAGGTTGACACAACCACAGCCACGCTGGCTGGGCCAGAGAAGCTTTTTAAATAGCCCAGAGTTTCTGTAAATAGCACCAAGATTCCTTGGAATTGGTAGAATTCCTTTTCACATACATTATACTCTTGAAATTGAGAATGTACTCATTAGGCCCTAGCCAGTTTGGCTCAGTGGATAGAGCATCGGCCTGAAGTACCCTTGATCAAAACAAGAAAGGAAAAGGCATGTAACTAAAATGATAAAGGATATATGAAGGATTCCAGCAAATTGGTAAAGAACCCAATAGGAAACTATGCAAAATATGTTAACAGTTATTTCACAGAAGAGGAAATAATGGCCCCCGAATGATATTCAACTCATTTGCAATCAAGGAATTGTCAATCGAGACTAAAGAAATATTGTACACCCATTTAAAATGGCAAGTCAGGAAGCCTGACAAGCCAGTCGCTGGAGAGTTTGTGGGTCTCTTCTCCCTTATAGATGCATATAAACGGTGTAGCCGCTTTGGGAATGAACTTGAACATTGAATGTTCCCATACTCCATACCCAGTGGTTCCCCTCCAGGTATACATCCAAGGAACATTCATAGCGGCAAAACCTAAATTCAGATGATGGAATGTTGTACAGAAATCTTAAAGGAATGAATGGTAGCCATGTGGATGAGTCACGGTTATGGTAACAGAAAGTTCGTCCCAAATTCTTACAGACGGAATGACACATATGTAAGACAAACTTGAAATATAAAAGCAGTTACTTAGGTAGGGTGAGGCAGAAGAATGGAATATTCTAGGTTCCATTGGGTATCAGAGAGAAATGTCCTGAATGACTGGGACTAGGGGTGAGAGTTGTGTTTATTTGTACCTTGAGAGTTGGGGGTAGCAAGAAAAATTCATGGTGGGCTCCAGGGGCTTCTAGAATGTTGTATGTACTTCTTAAGGTGCATTTTTTTCTGATGAAAATCCATACCTTCACATTACTTTTAGGGTGTGTGTGACCCCAGGATATTCTCATCCTTAGAACTGTTTAGAGTCCTTAGAGCTGTTGCATTACTACCTAGGCATTTTGTTTCTATAGCAAGTGTGCACACAACTGAATCAGCTGTGAACTGGAAAGCTAAATAGCCCTGTTTGGAGTGATGAAAAATTTTTGGAAGTAGTTATGGTTGTACAATATTTAAGTATAATTAATGCCACTGATTGACACAGTTAAGATGGTAAATTTTATGTTATATACTAAAGGCCCGATGCACGAAATTTGTGCAAGAGTAGGCCTTCCTTCCTCCAGCTGCCGGCACTGGCTTCCCTCGCAGCCCCAACTTCATCGAGAAGGTTGTCTGGAAGGATGTCTGTCTAATTAGCATATTACCCTTTTATTAGCATAGATAATGCAATATACCGAAGCCCATCAAACTAAAAACTAAAAGTGCACGAGAATTTATACAACTGGACATGAATTGCCTAGCTTTTTAAAGCTTATTTTCTAATTCACAAGTGAATGGTTTATAAATATAATAGAACTTGGAGAAATTTGACAAGTGCCTAGAAAGGGGGCGAGCTCCTTCACTCAGGTCCAAAAAAGGGTCTTTGGGTTGACAGGCCCCTATTTTTATGCTGGGAGACGGGCTCAGAGAGGGTCCAGTAGAGCTGGTCACACTGGTCGGACCTGGAGATTTTGCCAATGGCCAGAGGTCACTTCTCCAGCACTTGCCATTGCTAAGGCCCCAGCCGAGGCAGAGTCGGGGATGTAAAACAGAACTCTGTTCCCATTAGATCATTGGAGCTTCTGACCATCTCTACAGACAGGAAACGCAGGGAGGCACATGGTCCAGGGATAGATGGGAGCCTGCCAGGTTTGCCCACCTGTGTGAGGAGGGGCCAGGCAGGAGGGCTGCTGGCTTTCACCCACGGATGTCCCTGCGCTCAGGTGGTGGAAAGGTAACGGGCTCCGGACACTTTGGTGGTCCAGATTCAAATCCAGTTAGTCTCTGGGGCAACATGTTCTCAACTGTGTAAGCAACAGTCAGCCAGCAAAAGTGACCATGGAGATTCAGTGTAGCACAGCTACACTGGCATGGCTCAGTGGCTGAGCATTGACCTATGAACCAGGAGGTCACAGTTCGTTCCTGGTCAAGGCACATGTCCCTGCTGCGGGCTCGGTCCCCAGTCGGGGGGGAGGTGGGAGGGGGGAGCATGCAGGAGGCAGCCGATCTATGATTCTTTCTCATCATTGATGTTTCTATTTCTCTCCCTCTCCCTTCCTCTCTGAAATCAATAAAATATATATATATATTTAAAATATAGCCACACCCTCATGAGATAAGGGCGTGTGGTGGTAGTGATTGCACTGGCACAGGTATGGGAGTCAGATGAGGTTCTAGTTCTAGTCCCACCACGTACCAGGATGGGGACAAGCTCCTGGCAGTAAGGGTGCAGGGTGTCTCCCAAAATGAGCTCTAGTCTGTGCACCCCCCTTCTCTCCCACGGGGTGGCAGCAGCGGGCCCAGCCCTCAGTTTCTGTTTCTGTTTCCATTCCTGCTGAGCCTCCTTGTCTGCACTTGGCCCCTTGCCAGCCTTGGCTGGACCTGCACTGCAGGAAGTCTTGGCCACCCCGCTAGGGCCACAAGAGACACCCAGTCCCAGCCTAGAGCTGGGGAGACCAGGTTCGGAAGTACCGGACTAGTGGGGTACTGGGGACCCTCGGGGGCTTCTCTGTGATCTCTGGCAGTCTGGGGTGCCCCTAACAGTGCCATGGCTTTGGGCAAGTTACTGACGACCTGCGACATGAGCACCAGAGCCAATCTCTCCCAGGAGCAGTGCCTACGGACCTCCCCTCACCCCTCTCACAGGGAGCCAAGGGCTGGCTGCCAGTGCTCTCACCTGCTCTGCCTCATCTGCAAAGCGGGGGTGATGAGATGTGGCTTCCAGGACAGGAGAAGCCGGGATTGTCCTCCTGTCCTTCAGTGTGGCTGCCTGTCTTGCTCCCTCTCATGCCTGTGGCTGTCCGTTCCTCTGCCAGCTGCCTTGTCTCCCTCCAGCCTTTGCTCTGTCTTCTCTGTCCACTCCTGTCTCATGGTGCGTCTGTGTGTGTGTGTGTGTGTGTGTGTGTGTGTGTGTGTGCGCGCGCGCGCGCGTGCTGTACACCTCATTTTTGGGACTCTTGCTCTCTGAGTATCTGGCTCTGGCCCTCACTCTGCATCTCTGACAATTGGTCTCTCTGTCTCTGTGTCTCTCTGTCTTCCTGTGTCTCCCTCTCTCTCTGAGTCGGAGACTCTTGGTTGATCTCATGCTCAGTCCCTGACTATCTCTCTGTCCCTCTCTGTGTCTCTGTATGTAGTCTCTTTCTCATTCTCTTCCTGCCTATTTATCTCCTCTCTCTCTCTCTCTTTCTCTCTTTCTCTCTCTTTCTCTCTCTCTCCCTCCCCCCAATTCTGTATGTGCATGTTTTAGTGTTAGTGTGTATTTGTGTTCTTTTTTTTTTTTTTTAATATATTTTATTGCTTTCTTACAGAGAGGAAGGGAGAGAGATAGAGAGCTAGAAACGTCGATGAGAGAGAAACATCGACCAGCTGCCTCTTGCACACCCCCTACCGGGGATGTGCCCGCAACCAATGTACATGCCCTTGACAGGAATCGAACCCGGGACCTTTCAGTCCACAGACCGATGCTCTACCACTGAGCCAAACCAGTTTCGGCTGTATTTGTGTTCTTTAGTGTGTGCTTCTCCATGTCTTCCTACTCTTGCTGCCTGTATGTGTCCCTGTGTGCACTTCCATTTCATTCTTCCTCCCTGCCCCTCTGTGTATCTTATTCTGTGTGACTTGTATTTACACGTGTGTGTGCCGTGACCATGGCTTTCGGTTCTGTCTCCCTCCCTCTCTCTCTCTCTCTCTCTCTCTCTCTCTCTCTCTCTCTCTCTCTCTCTCTCTCTCTCTCTCTCTCTCTCGTGCATGTGTCTCTGTGTTCACACAGAGCCTGTCCGGCAGGGCAGCGGATGTGTGAGGGATGATTCAGTGGCTGACAGGAAGCCGGCCGCCTTGCTTGCTGCCCACAAGAGTCTGTGGGGTTGGAGTCAGCTCCGGCAGGTGTGTGGGCTCACGATGAGGTGGCCGCAGTGAAGAGCCCCCAACTCTCAGGTAAGCCTTTCCCGGGAGTGCCCAGAGCCTGGCCCGAGGACAGGGGTCCTGAGGCTGCCCCCCGACCTCCGACACCCCATGGGGTTGGCGTGGCCTCTCCTGAGCCCTTGGCGGCCTGCTGGGTGAAGTGGGAAGATGTCGGGATGCCTGACACCCCTCCTTTGACCCCACTCCTGCCCTGGTACCCCTGATTGGGGAGCCCTCACCCTGGACCCTGTGGCACTCAGAGAGGCAGCCTGGTTCTGGGGTTTCAGCCACTTCCCTGCCCTCACCTTTCCCGGCCCGGTCTGCAGCCCCAGGGGGCCTCGGGGTGCTCCCCTCACCTCCAGAGACCGTGAGAGGCCAGGACCGTGGCCCCGGCCCCTGCCCAGGAGCTTAGGTTTCTTCATCTGTAAAACCGAACTGCAATAGCTCGGACACAGGGCTACACCCGGGAGAACAGGGGAGACTAAGGCAAGCGTGCCCAGCTCCTGCCCAGGCCAGACGGGAGCATCTGTCCCTGCCATCCCACCCCGTGCCCAGCCCGGCCGGCCAGCTCTCCGCTGGGGCCTCGGACGTCCGCCCTGGGGAGCTCCCTGTGCCAGCTCTGTCCACAGGTGGCCCTGGCCTTCGCCATCCTCCGCTCCTACCCTGGGACAGGGGCTGCCAGGCCCTGTGCCAGTCACCTGGGCACTGAGAGCCCCATTGCAAGCCCCTGGGACAGCCTCATCTGAAGGCCAAGGTCACTTGGGAAAACGAAACAGACCCCAGAGCAAAGCCCAGTGGTTAAAGCCTTTTGGGGGCTAAGGCCAGGGCCTCTTCCCCCACCCCCCCAGCCCTCAGCCCTAGTGGGCCTCAGTCCCCCATCCCCAGCAGGACAGGTGCTGGGAGGATGGGCAGGATCATGTCCGAGGGCCGCTCTGGGCAGGGGGCTCAGGCGCTGTGGCCTGCGCAGTGCAACACCGAGGGGTTTCCCACACAGCCTGCTGCGAACCTTGTTCATATGAAAACTGCCCACTTCCCTTTCTGCTATTTTGGCCTGCGGAGCCACAGGCTGTGACAGCCGCCCTCCCCGCCCCATCCAGCCCTGCTGGCTCCTTGGGGCCTCTCCTGGGGCCCAGCCTCTCCCCCTCCACCCTGCCCACCCTTCTGCTCTCAACACGGGTGGAAAGTGACGAGAGAGGGAGCTTTATTCGGTGTGGAGGAGGATTGAGGGCATAGGAGTTTTACTCAAATTAGTCTCTTTTTTAAAAAAAATTTTTCATGATTCTTAAAAATAGAAGAAAAAAGGTAAAGGAGTGTGGCCTTCCTAGGCAGCATGCCTGGGCTTTGATCCTGCTCCCGTGACCGGCCAGCGGTGTGAGCTCGGACAGAGTGCTCCCCTCGGGTCCTGGCGTCTCACCTGAGGCGGTGGGCGTCTGTGACAGCTAGCTGAGGGGCTGGGGCAAGAGCCGTGCTCTCTTCCCGCCCCAGCCCCTCTCGGGGCCCAGCACGAGGCCCACGTGTGGCAGGGAGGGAGGCTAGGCCTGTCTGTCTGGGGAGCAGGCAGAGAAGGTCTGGAGAGACCTGCTCCACCCCATCCGCTGCAGGCCCGAAGGCGGCTCTGGCCCCAACAGGCTGCCCCTGCCCCGGGAGCCAGAGGGTGGCTGGTCATGACCGTCACGGCCAACTGTGCCCCCCCTGCCCCAGACCTTCCATGCATCATCTCGATGCCGGGTCTCATGTGACAAACCCACAGGAAGAGTGTCCCTCTTCCCCCCACTTAACAAAGGGGCAACCAAAGGCCTGTGACACTGGTACCCATTTTTGTTCCTGGTAGAATTTGCGTTCTCCTGCTCCCTTCCCCAGCCTCCCCCAGCGCCAGTGGGGAGCAGATGGACCAGGGCTTCACCTCAGGAAGCAAAAGGCTCTCCGATAGTCAGGGTCCCAGAGGTCAGCAGGTCATGGCCCAGGGCTCCGAGTGCCAGGTCAGGGGTGTGGACTCACTTCTGGAGTCTGAAACAGCCCCCGGGGGTGGCCAGGGTGGACTCATGTCCCAGCTCTCGCAGGGGGCATGTGTGCGCCCCACCCCACGTGCTGTGCCCAAATCCCCTTTCGGGTCAGAGAGTCACCGTGCTCACCAAAGGACCGCGTTGTCGAGGATCCGGAGCCTGAGAGAGCCGTCCAGACTAGCCAGCCAGAAATCAGACCCTCAGTGGGTTCCTCTCCAGGAAGCCCCAGCCGTGAGCCTGGCTGGATGTGATTGACCCCCATTTCACAGATGAGGAAACTGAGGCCCAGGGATGCCGAGGCACAGGCAGGATTTGACCCCAGGAGTCCTCCCCCTCGAAGGCAGGTTTTCCCAGCTTCCAACAGCCCGAGGGAACGTGAGAGGGAGGCAGGGCGAGGTGTGCAGACCAGGAGGGCAGTGCCCAGCCTGTGAGCGGAGGGGGAGCGGATCCCCTCAAACAGCATCGTGTGTGGCGGGCCGGTCTTTCTCCTCACGTGGAGGCTGCTCTGAGACAAGATTTGGGAATTCCGTGTTCCCACTGACTCCCTGGAAACTCCACGTCCTGGGGAGGAGAGGCGGCTCCTCTGGGACGGCCCCTGGAGGGGCCCCGCCCCGCGTGGAGATGTCTTGTTGACTTTGCCCCAGATTCCGGAAGCTCGGAGCTCAAAGGAGAGAGGGGACAGCAGCGGGGGTAGGAGAGGGGGACACACACAGGCCTCAGGGGAGCCCGGAGCAGGAGGGGGCAGTGCGAAGTCCATCTCCTCCTCCAGCCTCACCCGCCCCCGCTGTAAAGAGCGGGAGCCCCCCTCCCAGGTGCCCGATGCAGGAGGCACAGGTGTGCGCAGAGTGGACGCTCCGTGTGGGCGCTCCATGTTACCACCTGGGCACCGGCCCCTCAGACAGCCCCCGCAGCCCTCAGCTGAGGCCCGGCTATTTCGAGGTGGCTGAGTCCCTTGATAGTTTCAATGATTCTCCTTGGAAACCCCCTCAAGGGGGCTGGACTTGCCTTCACCTGCCCCTGGTGTGTAGATTGGTTCACCAAGACCAGACCATCAGGGTGGCCCTGAGGCTGGGGCTAGGACCGGCCACTGAGGCAGCAGCCAGCAGGCAGGGTTTCGGGGCCTCCTTGCCCTGTAGCCTCTCTCCTCCAGCCCCACAGCCCACCACTAGCCACCATGGGCCATACGCCAGGTCCCTCGGAGCTTGCTTGTCCCCTAGCTCGTAAGCCCACCTCCTCCAGGAAGCCTTCCCTGATCTCCCTCCTCCTAGCTCCCAGGGTGGGAGGAATCTGGGTGCATGGATGTTTAATGAATGGAAATCCTGCTCCCAGCTTCCCTGGGTGGCCGGCTGAGGATGGGGTGGAGACGTGCCCACGGTTGGGAGGGCTGCTGGGACCTCCCATGCAGAAGGGTCCTCAGACTCCAAGCTCGGGGAGGAGCGCCTGGTTTATAGGAGGGAGGGGGTGCGGAGGGCAAAGCCAGGGTTAGGCTCTGGGTGTTGGAACCTGAATCCCGTCTTTCCACTTAGCAACGGGAGATGTCTGGCCTCCGTTTCTTTATCTGTGAAGTAAAGCAAGCCCTTCCTTCAAAGGGCAATTGTGTGGGTGAGGTGAGGGTGTATGCAGGAGTGTGTACACGCGTGTGGTGCTGCCTGCTGGGTCCCCAGAACCTTCCAGCCCTCATCACGAGTTGATGCTGGCCGTGGGGGGGCACGGGCACGGGCCTGGGGTCGGATGGAGGAGGAGGTGTGGTCCTGCCTGGCCCTCCTCAGGGCGGGAAGGGCGCTCCTGGACTGGGCTGTGAGGCTGTCAGGGGCCGGAGGGGGTAAGAGGCCTGAGAGCGGGGGGCTGGATGGGCTCCCGAAGGGGCAGCCCTCCAGCCCTCCCACGTGGGTTTGCGTTGTGGCCTCACAGGAAACGTGCACAGGAGCCGACATGAGTGCGGACGCGGAGCTGCTGTGGCCCGGGGCGGCCCTCCTGCTGCTGCTGGGGGCGGTGGCCAGCCTGTGTGTGCGCTGCTCCCGCTCAGGTACAGGGGGAGCATGACAGGGAGGGGCCGGGAGGGGAGCTCTGGGCACAACGGAGGAGGGACAGCATCCCCCCAAACTGCCACAGGCCAGACCTGGCTGTGTCTGGGAGGGGCAGTCTGCTAAGCCTCATAAGACGGGGGTGACCCCCCAAGGGCTGGCCCCACGCTGCACCTGAGCACCGTCTGGTTCACTGGGGGCTGGGGGTTGCTCTGGGCAAGGGAGGAAGGCTGGCCTGGCTGCCTGGGGCATCCGCCTTCTCTGCTCCGCTCTCCTAAATAAACAGTGAGAGACACCCTGTCAATGCCATGGCTCCCAGCGGTCGGCGGGCCCGGTGTGCTGTCTGTCCTAGCACAGGGCACAGGCAGACCGGAGGAGGGGGCCTTGGGTGTCAGTTCCACCCTGGCTCTGGGCACTTGCTAATCTGGTCCCGTTTTTGCAGGTGCGAAGCGGCCCGAGAGGATTTATGAGCAGAGGAGCCTGTGAGTGCCGCCGTGTCCCAGGCCCGGGGCCGTGTGCCTGGGCTGTGGGCGTCCCCTCAGGCACCTGTCTGCTGTGCCTCACCCCTTTGCTCACACCGCCTCCAGGCTGGGCTCCGGTGGGTCACAGGCAGTCAGGGAAGCAGAGGGGCACCCAGGGCTGCCTGGGCCCTGCCCCAGCCCAGGGCACCTGCTGTGCGGGTGGGGGCAGGTGTCCACAGAGGAATCGGGCCTCTTGGTGCAATGAGGGGCTGGGGTGTGGGGCCGGCACTGGGCACAGAGCAAAGTGCGAGCTGTGTCTGAGTCTCCCTGGGAAAACGCTAAGGGAGCCAGGGAGGAAGTGGGCATGTCCCTGGGGGATTAAGGAAGGCCTGATGGAGGAGGTGGGAAAGATTTTAAGAGAAAAAGAGGCAAAGGGGGATATTCAGAGGGAGAGAGAACCGAGTGGGCAGTCGCTGGCATAGGACCGGCGGACACTGTCTTTCAGGGATGGGGTGGCAGTACCATGCGTCTCTGGGAGATGAGCTGGGTGAGGGAGAGGCCTTGGCCTTCCTTCTAAGGACCGAGGGGCCCAGAGAAGAGCTGGGAGCAGGGGTTTATGGGCAGCAGGAAGGAGGGAGGTGCAATGGGGTCAGTGAACCCAGCAGGGGAGGGGGCTGGGTGATGGAGCTCCAGGCACTTTGAGGGCAGGTGGGTGGCTCTGTGAGTGCTGGGAGGGTCAGCCGTGCCAGACACTGCACACCAGGGGCCACCCTAGGACAGCCCCAGGCAGGGGGCAGCGGCCGTCGGCATCCTGACACTGAGTAGGAAGGTGACTTGATGGAGGGCCTCTGTGTGAACGCCCACGCACACCCACACGCTCCCTGCACGCTTGCTCATGCGTGCACGTCTCACACATGCAGCGCTGTGTGCACATTCGGGTGGCTACTCACGCACAAATGGGCACACACGCCCTTTCTCATTTCCTTTTGCAACTGAAAAACCACAACGAGATTTGAAAAACAGAATTTCCCCATCCAGGCCCACCCCGGGCGGGGGCAGGACTGAGACTCTCCGGGCATCTGTGGCCACTTGGCTGTCTCGATGGCTGGCCCACAATGTGGGCTGGCCGCCCCAGTGGCCCTCTCTCCTGCCCCAGGCAGGCCTCCTCAGAATCTCCCCACAGCCCCTGCCCACTCAGGGCCCCTGGCTGATCTTACAACTGTAGACTCAGCCTCCTTATGCAGTGGGTGGGGAAATGGCCCCCTGGTGGGAGGAGGGAGGAGGAGAGGCTTGGGTTCTCTCCACCTCACTGGGGCTCAGTCCTCCGGGAAGCCATGCCTGGCTCTCTCCTGTGGGTTCAGACAGAGCGTCCATCCTAAATCACGTCACCCTGACCCCCCCTGACCCCCCGCCCCCCCAGGAGCTCCTAGAAGGCTGGGCCAGGTGCCCATATTAATCCAGGGGAGACGCCCAAAAGGCCTTAAGGATTAGCTAATCTGTTCACCATCCTCAGTGGTGGCTTCCGTTCTCAAGCGCACTTCATGGTCCGAAATGGCAGCGAGGGCCCCAGCCCTCATCTCTGCAGTCCAGGTTGTAGTAAGAATGAAGGAGAAGGACAAAAAGGCTGTCCCCCAGCTGTCAGCGACTCAAGGTTTCCTGGAACTCCCAGCAACCTGGGCTTGCATTTCATTCGCCAGAGCTTTGTCACGTGGCCACATGCAGCTGTGGTCTGTATTCAGGTGTTTAGATGGGCGTGCTGCCGGCTAAGCAGAAGTCAGGGTTGTGCTGCAAAGGAGGAAGGGACACTGGACAATGACGAGCTACCTGCCCACAGACCCTCCTGGCCAGCTCTGGGGTTTCCCGGGCGCCCCATGTTGAGAAATGGGTCTTTCTGGCAGCGGACTCCAGGCCAGGGCCATGTGAGAAGGGTGGGCACCCAGAGGGCAGGGGCAGGGAGCAGCCCAGAAAATGAGGGCCTCGGGGGCAGGGCTCTGGCTCTGCAACCTGGAGGGGTGGCAGGCAGCTCCTTCTCCTCACGCTTGCCCTACTATGTGCCTCCGCTCTGTTCCTTGTCCCCCTCTGTCCATCTCTCCTGTCTCTCTGTCCCTGGGGCTGGGGGAGGCCAGGCCCTCGCTCAAAACAGTCCCGTGTGTTTCCAGGCAAGAGAACCAGCAGAACTTTGCAGTGGCCCGGACCTACTCCTGTGAGTCCCAAGCAGAAGGGTTCAGGGGCTGGGCTCGGGGTGGGGGGTGGGGGGTTCATATCAAAGTCTCTTCACCCTGAAGTCGTGGCCATGCCTGACCTGGCAGGGTGGAGGGGAGAGGGAGCTACTCTGGCACACTGGCGTTGGGGTCCAGCTAACACCCCCTGGTCCTTTGCAGTGGGCAGGCCTATGCTGATGGACACAGCCTATGACATGGCACCAACAAGGTAGGAATGAGCCCCTTGTCCTGGGCCCAGAGGGGTCACAGCCCCCACAGGAAGTGATGAGGAGGGCCCTGGCGCCCCCTCCTGGCTGAGCCCAGGCCGAGACCTGACTTCCTCTTCAGACCCTGAGAGAGATGGGCCGCCCTCCCTCCAGGAGGCTGGAGGGCTGTGGCCTTCAAATCCCCCAAACCCTGGAGCCATTCCCCCCGCCCCCCATGGCTCCTCCTCAGCCCCTACCTCCCCCTCCCCTGCAGGAAGGATAAGCTGCTGCAGTTCTCCCCCAGCCTCGAGGGTGAGTGAGCCCCACACCCAGGAGTGGGGCAGGGGGAGGTGGGACTGGGACAGGTGAGTACCGGGTGGGGCAGGTACTGTGCAGACGTGCAGGGGAGGTGTGGGGGAGGGGAGGCAGGGGAGCCAGGCCTGACAGGAAGGCCTTTGCAGGAGACTCATACGCCGCCGGGCTGGGAGGCCTGATGGGATTGGCCTAGTGGGGGAGGGGAGAGAGCAGGTGCAAAGGGGTGCCGGTAAGAAACCCTCGGCTTTTCTTCCAGATTCTGCATCGCCGAGGTACCAGAACTTCCGCAAAGGTAGGTGGGCCCTGGGGACTGGGGGGGGGGGGGGGGGGGGGGGGGCAGTGGGGGCCGCCTCCAGGAGCCTGGGCCTCATTCCGCCTCCTCCTGCAGGAAGCAGACACGGATCAGACGGAGCCTACATGTGAGTGGCCTCCTCCAGCCCTGCCCTGAGCTTCCTCATTGGGGAAGGCCTCCTGCCCTGGAACCGCCAGCCCAGGCGCAGGCAGGCGCTCGGTAGCAGTTTTCCTTCAGGAGGCTCTGTGGGTGTGGGGACTGGGGCAGGGACGTGGTCCTACTCTGAGAAGGGCCTGTGCGGAGGGGTCATCCTGCCTCACCCCATCAGATACAAGTCACAGGGGCACCTGGAGGCCCCGAGAGGAAGGGCCCTCAGATGTCTCATCTCACAGATGGGCAACCTGAGGCCCAGGGCCGGTGGAGACTTGTCTGGGGTCACATGGCGAGGTGGCTAGTGCCAGGCTGTCTCCCCCTCAGCCCCAGGATGGCTCAGGGGTTCAGGGAAGCAGGATGGGGAGATGGGGGAGACCCTCGCCCAGCCCCCATGGGCCCCGGAGGAGTGATGGCTGGAGCAGTCCTTGCCTCACTGCACCCCTCTTCCATGAAGCTCTTCTTCTCTCCTCTTCCCCACTCCCCCCCCCCCTCCTTCCCTGCCCAACGGGCCTGCCCAGCAACTGGTGTTGTGTTTGTGTTTTCCTGCCAGAGACCCCATCATCATGGAGTATTGCACCTGGGAGCGGTCTCAGAAGCGGCAGGAAGGTGAGGCAGAGAGGAAGGCGGGGCAGAGGGAGGAGAAGCATGGAGATCAGGTTCCCTGTGGGACCAGAGGCTTTGGGAGGACTCGGAGGAGGAGCCTGCTGAGGCTTGGTTTGGATGGACTGAAGAGTGAGGGACAGGTGAGGGAGCTGGCACCTCGAGCAGGGGCCAAGGTGCAGAGGAGAGGAGTGTGGGAGTCAGGGATGGGCCACAGGGGTGAGCGAGCAAGAGCAGGACAGCTGGGTCCCTCGTCACCCGGGTCCCATGCAGGGCTGGGCAGGTAGGGGACCCCAAAGGAAGGCCCAGGGTGGGGCAGACTTGCTGATGGATGCTGGAACTCTAGACCCTCAACACCTCTGCTTTACAGAAAGAGAAACTGAGGACCAAGGGTAGGCGGTGGTCCTCCTGGGCCATGCTGGGGTGGGGAGTGAGGCACAGCTGGGCAGGGAGCGGGCCCTCTTCTTTCCCCCTGCAGCCTCCTAACTGGGGTGGGGCTCTCGTTTCTCAGAGCCCCTGATGTAAATGGATGATGGGTGAGTTGCTGGAGCTCAGCTTCCAGTTGGAGTTGGGGGTGGGGTGGGGGGCATGCCACACCCAGCCTAAGCCCCTGGACAAAGACCCACTGAACTGAAGGGTCTGCTTCCAGGTAAGCTGCGACCTGGCTGCCGTCTCTCCTGGGCCCCCAGTGGCTCTCACTGCCTGGTGGAGATGGGCCTCCCTCCATTCAAATACCCATCCTGGGCCTGAATGCAGCCCCAGCCCCTGACCTCCCCTCCCCAGGGCATTCAGGGGTAACCTTGGAGGAGAGAGGAGGAGCTCAGAGTGGCAGCTGCTGAGCCAGGCCAGTGCCCATTAGGAAGCTTGTCCAGGAAAATGTCCCTGGCCCTGGGGGACCCAGAGGACTGGGGCCTTAGCAGGACATGTCATCTGCTACAGGAGGGCGGGGCATAAGGAGAGAGGAAGAGCCAGGTTTGATGGACAGGGCCCACCATAATGAAGCTCTCTCTCCCTTCTCCCCTCTCCTCTCTTCCCTCTCCCCTCTCCCCCCTCCCCTCTCTTCTCTCTCCCCTGTCCCCTGTCCCCTCTCCCCTCTCCCCTCTCCCCCCTCCCCTCTCTTCTCTCTCCCCTGTCCCCTCTCCCCTCTCCCCCCTCCCCTCTCTTCCCTCTCCCCTGTCCCCTTTCCCCTCTCCCCTCTCCTCTCTCCCCTCTCCCCTCTCCCTGTTCCCCCCTCCCCTCTCTTCCCTCTCCCCTGTCCCCTCTCCCCTCTCCCCTCTCCCTGTTCCCCAGCAGATGATGAGGATTCTAATTCCTATGAGAATGTGCTTATCTGCAAGCAGAAAGAGCCCGACTCAGGTGAGGCTACCACCTGGAGCTGGGCAGGGACCAGGTGGGTGAGATCTGAAGTCCCCACAGAGGCATGGCCCTCCTTGGAGCCCAAAAGTTCACCCAAACCTCCAATGCCTTTGGGTCAGCACTGCCTCCTGTCCTGGGAGGAGGCCCCATCACCCGGGGCCTCAGTGGGAATGCGCTATGGGGAGCCTTCCAACCGGAGGGGCTGCCACCCAGGGCATGGTGCCTCTCGGGGGGCCGTGGCACCTCGAAGGCCTGAGGACCAGTCACGGTGGCTTCCCCTTCCTCCCTGCAGGCCCTCCCCCTGGTTCTCCCCCTGCAGGCGACGAGGATTATCAGAACTCTGCTTCCATCCAGAAGTGGCGGGAGTCCAAAAGGGTCGAAGGTATGTGGCCAGAGAGCAGGGGCTCCTGAGTGGACAACTTCAGCGGGCTCAGCGGGTCTGGGGGAAGGGTAGTGTGAGTCAGGGTGTCTGGCCAGGGAGGCTGGGGGGAAGGGTAATGTGAGTCGGGGGGTGTCTGACCGGGGAGGGCCAGGCTGGGGTGGACCCCCCTGCAGCCGGCCAGCTAATTTCACACGAAGCTGAAGGCGCAGCATTGGCGGCTGCACTGGCCTTGAACCACGGCCTCCTGAGGTCAGAGTCCTGCACAGGCTGCCACCACCTGGGTGAATGGAGCCCCACTGACTCTGCCTCCCGGAGACAAACAACCTGGCGAATCCCAGAACCCGGACAGGCACTCCGTGAGGGCAGGGCAGCCTTTCCCCTTGGGCTGCGTGTGGCCTCTCCTCCAGCCCTGGGTGGGCGTTCTGGCTCCAGGACCAGGTCTGGGTGCGTCCATGTGAACCACTGACAGTTCGCCTGCTTTCCTCAGGGCAAGTCCCGAGAGGAGCCCCTCTCTCCCCTGCGGGAAGCCCGGACGACGATGACGACGGAGAGCCCGATTATGTGAATGGGGACGTGGCAGCCCCGGAAGCCTAGGGCAGACCTGGGACCAGGTACAGCTGCCTTGGTGCAGGGTGGGGGCCTCGCTGGCCAGGGGCCCCATCCCCTGGGAAGAGGTGGGAGCTCGGGCTGGAGGAGCCGTGGTGAAGGCCAAGCGGTAGCACCCATGGGTGCTGAAATGGGGTGGCTCTGCAGGGGGTTGGGCCTCCTAAGCAGTCCCCTTGGGCCCACCCTGCCCCCAACCCCCAAGGCAGGCTTGGTGAGGCGACAGATTCGTGGCAAGCACGAGGTGGTCAGGCAGGGAAGTGGTGAGGTGGCGGGTGAAGTGGCTCTGGGTGGGTCTCTGCAGCCTTCCTGGATCTGTTTCCTCGCTTGCAAAATGGAGCCATTAGACAATACACTGCACATAGCGCAGGAGCCCAGCGGGGCTTGGCCAGGGTTGGCCGCGGGGGCAAAGGGCAGGGCTGGGGGACGATGGTGCTGACAGTAGTCGTGGCTCAACTGAGTTAAGCAGCCACTTTGCCGGCCAGCATGGAGTCAGGTGCTCACACACACCATTGCTCACCACCTCAAAGGCATCTATCTGGCACTAAGACAAGAGCACACTTAGAATAAGTGTGTGTGGGGGGTACGGGGAGGGGGGAGCAGGATCCACCCCATAGTCCTCTCAGTCGGGGGCAGGCCTGGGCTGGTCCAGCCACAGAAGCTTGAGCCCAACATGCGAAGGCCCTGTTCACTCATTCACTTAATATATGCCCCACCTGCCAGAGTAAACGCCACGCACAAAAGGCCTGGGGTTGTGGTGGGAGAAATACAGCTGATCCTGGGAGAGAAGAGAGAGTGAGAGGCAGAGGAAGACTGCGTGGTGATACGTCCTGTGGAGGCAAACCCGGCCGGCGGGGAGGAGACGGGCGGGAAGGCGGGCAGTTCCGGAGCGAGGCCAGGGAAGCCTTTGGAGCGCCCTCCGCCCCCGGGGAAGGACGCCCGCCCGGCAGAGGGACTCGCAGAGGCCTGCTCAGAGGCTCTGACAGCAGCGGGAGGCGGGGGGCGGCCGAGTGAGCACGTGGAGGAAGGAGGAGGCCAATCGGGTAGAGCCAGCTCCTGGGTTCTTTCTGAGCTTTGGGGGTGGGAAGAGGGAACGTGGGAAGATTTGAAACACAAGAGTGACATGATATTTCTAAAGGGTCACTGGCTACCGAGTAGAGAAATGAATATAGCCCTCTGAATCCACGGATTCAACCAACCTCAGATGGAAACTATTGGGGTGGGAGATTTGGGGGGGCGGGGGTGTGAATCTCAGAAAGTTCCAAAAAGCAAAACCTGAATTTGCCGCAAGAGCAGTACACGAAATCCATGCAAATGACGTGTAGGCACAGTCTGCAAACACACCACCTACATACGGGAGCGGGGGGGGAGTTTAGCATCCTCCCGGGTGGGTACCTGGTGGAGTTGGGGGTGCCATCCTGGAATCAAGCCCCTGAGCTCTATGGGGGGATGGCGGCGGGAACAGGGAGGCGGGTGAGTTAAGAGTCCAGACGAAAGGTGCCACCTTGGCCCAGGGAGGCAGCGGGAGAGGAGACAGCGGGACTTGCTGGTGCCCTGGGTGTGGGTGCCCTGGGTGTGGGTGCCCTGGGTGTGGGTGCCCTGGGTGTGGGTGCGAGGGAGAGGCGTTGAACAGAATCGCAGGGTTTTGCCTGAGATCTGGGAGGCTAGGGGCAGCGCGGGTTTTGTGGGCAAGGCCAGCTGATTTCCGGGCCTGTTCATTGGAGGGCCCATCAGAGGGAAATACGGAGTCGGGCTGGAGATGGACCTGAAGACGGGTGGGACGTACCCAGGCCTTGGCCAGGACCAAAGAGCACAGTCAGGATTTCAAAGAAAAGGGGAAGCCCTTGGAAGCGACTCAGCTTGCTGGATGGCTCTCCACTCGGCCCCGGGAGGGCAGCTGAGAGCTCACCATCCCTGTGCGTCCCTCCCCTCTCAAAACCAGTCCCTCCGGAGCGGAGGGAACCACGTGCTAGCCAAAGCACACCTTTTCCTTTCAGCAACCACTTTCATCTTCACCGGAGGAGCCCAGAGCCCAGCGCTCACAGAATAGTTACCGTCTCCAGCCATCGCGTCTCCGGAGCAGCTGGACTCTGGGCCCACCACGCTCCTCACGGGAGGTGCACCCACCCCCCACGGACCCTCCCTCTGGCCACGCGGGACCAGCAAGTCACACGTGGAACCAGCTTCCCGGGGGCTGGGCAGGAGCTTGGTGCGGAGAGCACTACAGCCCCTGCCGAAACTGAATGCCCAGCACTTAGGGCAAGTGGCACCCCATCCCCGCATCTAAAACACCACGTCATACTGGCATTCGTGTCCTTTTTTGCTTTGGATTTGGATCCAAAATTGCTTACTAATGTCAGTGGCTGGGAATTGGTGTGCGTGATCGGTAAGCTTTTGTATAATTAATTTATATATATAGGTGGAGCCGTATTTAATATTCTACGTTCCAAGGCAGATTCTTCTAGCTTGTCTCCTCTAAGCATTACATGTTGTAACTTCAGCAGACACTTCGGGTCTCAGTTCACTGAGGAAGCCACAACCACCCGCCGGCTATCAGCGGGCGTGTCCTGTGGACAAAGTGTGTCAGTTCTGCCGAGGGGGCGGGCAGTGGTGTCCCTCAGGTGCCCTGAATGCCTCCTCTGCTCCAGGGCTGGCTCAGCTCCCTGACTGGGCAGCATGACCGTCTCAGGGAAGGGCAGAGGCCCAGCGGGACCTTGAGTCAGAAAAGCCACTCGGGGAAACATGCCTCCTCCTTTCAAAACCTCAATAAACCTTTCCAGTTTAAGGGCAGCAATCCTCATGTCTGCTTTCTCCGCTCTGTGTAACGAGGGAATGACAGCCTCTTGTTTCACAGAAAGGGACCCCGAGGCCTGGGAGCAGGACCTTGGGCCCCAAGGGCAGCTCTTCCAGGATGGCACACGATTCTTCCCCTGAGAATTAAAGCCGGTTAGGAAATTAGAGAAAAACATCTAGAACACAGCTGTGGCCATTTGCCACTTCACTCCCTGCAGCCCTGACCTCACAAGCTCAGAGGCCATTTAGGCCTGAGCAGGGGGCGTGGTGGGACAAGGGAAGGCCCCAGGTGGGAGGGGCCTCTCCCAGGTTCCAGGCGGGACAAGGGAAGGCCCCAGGTGGGAGGGGCCTCTCCCAGGTTCCAGGGTGGAAACCCTGGTCTCTCCCCGGCTCCTCACCTGCAAGCTGGGCACCATCATCTCTCCCCCTGACAGATCCCATAGCTCCAGACAAAAAATAAGATTGAGGAAGTATGTGTATTTTGTAAAACTTCACCTTGCTGTTTTTGTGGTCTGGGTGTTATCTGCACCAGCCTGGCAGGGTCGGCACTGAGTAGAAGAGCCAGCAGGCCCTCCCCCTCCTGCTTCCTCGATCAGGCTGGAAGGGGCACTAGAGCCGCTGGAACCGAGCGTGGGCAGGGAGAAAGCTGATGGGCTCACCCAGCTGTTCCAGCACTACATGCAGCACGGCACACACGGCCAGTGCAGTGGCCTTCGTCAGGTAACACACAGGCAGGAAGAACCAGCATGTCACACAAGCCTTTTAATCAAAGCCTCTCCCGAGACCACTAATCATAGGATGAGCGATTCCCCACCCCACTCCCTGGAAAACACCGTTCTAGCCCTGCCCATGGGAGTGCTGTCCTGTGCACTGAAGGGTTACTGGTTTGATTTCGTCAGGGCACATACCCAGGTTGTGGACTCGATCCCTGGTTACGGGAGGCAACTGATAGATGTTTCTCTCTCTCCCTCCCTTTCTCTCCAAAATCAATTACACAAACACACAAACAATGCTATTCTAAAGTGGCATCTGGGATTTGTTTCAGAACAATCCGAGTGGGGTGTAGGAATAGAGAGGAAACAAGATAAGGCCATGTGTTGGCATAACTGTTAAGATGGGTGATGAATATGTGAATATCATTCAATGTTTTATGTACAACTGAGATTTTTCATAATTTAAAAAAATAGCATCTTACAAAAAAAAGAAAAAAAAAAGAAAAAGAAAAAGCAATTCTACAGTTGAACACAAAGTTTATTGGGAAATTCCAATCAATAAGCACTTCACCAACAATGCGACACAGTGGTTTTCCACCTGCCTGGACTGCACCATTTTCCTCAGTGACACCTTGAGTCCTTTCTAAAGAGCTCATGGCCCTGAGCTGTTCTATTTTTCTAAATAGTGAGTAAATTACAACAAACCCTGTCCTCACCCCAGGGAACTGTCCTCCAGGCTTCTAGAAAAATTGATGTTAGCTTATCCAGTCTGTCACCTAAATCACCCCTTCTCCTTGCAGGATGCAAGCAGCATGCAGAGACAGGAAGTTGGCTCGATTTGCAGTCTTGCACTGCCACATTATTGCTGAAAAATTGTAGTTTTATTAGCTAAAATGCCAACACACACCCAGACTGGGTATTGTGCCCTGGACATTCTCTGTGGCCTTTCCCCATCACCACGTCCCAGAGCCTGGGGCTGAATGCAAATGCTTCTGGAGACACGTGTAGAAGCACAGGGAGGGCCACAGCACGTTACTAAAAGGCGAGTCCCAATTACTAAAGGCGAGTCCCAATTTGGGCGTTTTCTCCCGAAGCAGAAGGCTGGGAGTCCTGTCTCTCAGGGACTCTTGTAAGCCCAGCAATGAGTTCTCTGCTCTAACTGGCCACCGGGGCCATTGTCTTCTGACACAGCCTGGCCAGGAGCCCTGCCATCTGCAGGAGAGAGTTCACACCTTCGGCTATCTTCATATGAGTGTATCCAATTTCCTAAAAACAAGTGAAATTTAAATCTGGTTAGTAAGTGAGGAATAGATTTTTTTTTTTTTTTTTTAATCTGTAGTAATGGTTTACTCAAAATTGATGCAATGAATTCTAACTCCAACTAGAAAATGAACTCTAAATTGTCATGGATTATGTTTAAAGTTGAATTTAAACCTAAAAGGATATTGGTATTTCTTTGTAAGACCCTGTTAAGGAAATTTAAAAAAGGCAATATTAAAATATTTATATTACACATATCTGATTATACATTAAGAACACTCAGAACTAAGTAATGAGCCCTAGCCGGTTTGGCCTCAGTGGATAGAGCATCAGCCCACAGACTGAAGAGTCCTGGGTTCGATTCTGGTCAAGACATGTACCTTGGTCGTGGAGGGCAACCAATTGATGTGTCTCTCTCACATCAGTGTTTCACTCTGTCTCTCCCTCTCCCTTCCACTCTAAAAATCAATGGGAAAATATCCTTGGGTGAGGATAAAGAAAACAAAACTCAGTAATGAGAAAACAACCCAATTACAAACTGGGGAGATTTGAACAGATACTTCATCCAAGATTGGGGATGGCCCATAAGCACATGAAAAAGCGCTCGACATCACTAGCTACTGGGAAATGCAAATGAAAGCCTCTACAAGCCTATGGCAAAGACCAAAAATCCGACTGGGCACTCCAAGGGCTGCTGGACTGTGGATCAGCTGAAATGCTCACCACCGTTGACAGGATGCGAAATGCTATAGCCACCCTATCAAGTTACACTTAGACTTACCGTTCGACCAAGCAACCTCACCTCCGTACACTGGAGGTGACTACTCCTCAGTAATAAAAAGGAATAACCCACTGATCCTCGCAGCAAACATATGAACAAATACAAAGTCCATTCAGCTAAGTGAAAAAACCAGGCTCAAAGACTATGCTTCTGCTTGTTTCCATTTGTATAATATTCTGGAAAATTCTGTCCCCCCCAAAGAGAAAGCCGATCAGTGGTTTCCAGGTGACAGAGGAAAAGGGCATGTAAAGTTGGGGGGGGGGGGGTTAGAGTTGTGTTTACATGACTGAATGCTCTGTCAACGGGATGCACCTAAAGAGGCTGAATTTTCCTCTATGTAAACTGTACCTCAATCAATCTGACCTTAAAGATTATAAACACACCAAGCTCTAGTGAAGAGTCATCCTGAGGAACAGTAGGTCACTGATGGGTAGAACGGGCTTAAACAAACTCCCAGCCCCAGGACAGGCAGCCGCCCGCCTCCAACGGAGCTGGGGACACCACTGAGCATCTTCCTGATGCCAGGCCTGCAAGTGAAACAGAGGGAGCCACAGCGTGGTGGGAACCCCTAAGGAGAGGGGCCCGGCTGCACCCCCACTGACCTTAATGAACTCCAGCTTCAAGTACTCTGCCATTTGGAAGGTCTTGCACACTCGGAAGATGTTGCCAATGATGTCTTCTGGTGAGTAGCCAAGATGCCACAGGTGAGCGAGAATCTACACAGGAGAGAACACGCTGAGGCTGCTGAACCCGAACAGGACAGGGACATTTGGGAAATGAATCTAAAGCCACACAAATCTCGGGCAGGTCACACTGCTCATCCTAGAAAACACACGCGATTCTGAGCATCAGCTGAGCACCATGGAGCTGGTGGGCCACGCCCTATAGATCACAAGGAGATAATTGGGCTGATTTTTCCAGCATTCAGACAGATAATATTGCAAATGCTTTTAATGTATTGCACAGCCTACTACTGTCCCCGAGCCTCTTAAGCATTTTATTAATCATCCCAGTGTACGCAGAGCAGAAGCAGGAGAACCCTGTCAGGGTGGGGAATGCCCGGCCTGCAGGCTGTATAAGGCCCATGAGATCATTCGGTCTGGCCCTGCCACGGCAGTAGGGTGAGTTAATTAAATGTTTGACCAAATATAGCAGGCTAATTTTTAAGTTGATAATTTTGTATAGTCCATGAGTGATGTTATAAATATCCAAATGGCCCTTGGCAGGAAAAGGTTCCCCACCCGTGGTATCTGCAGTGCTTTCTCTAGCTAGAGTCCTAACCCAGCCCCTCAGGGGCAGCCCCGAACATCCTGGTCACGGCAGGGATTATAGCAGTGGTCTCGACCTCCCACCTTTTCAACACCTCACTCCATGCCACCTGGACTGCAGGGTCTGGAATCACTTGTTTTTGCCTTTGTGTCAGCATCCTGGGATAAACTCATGGGGCAGGGAAGCTCTGTGCCTAAATCTGAAGGCTTCCTTCACGCCCACTCCAGGTACCTGGGTCTCTGCCTCAGTCTCCCTGCCTTGCATTCGTTTCACCTTAGGTCTAACCCAGCCCTAAACTCAATCAACTTCTAGCCCAATTTAGTGGGCGCAGGGAAACTGGCTGTGATCATTCCAATGGCCTCGGATCACACCACTGCCATCCAAGTGACTTGAGGTCACCTGAACCACATGGTGCCCACTGGAACCTGCTCACATGACCCTACACTTAGGCCCGAACCCCCCTGGGTTCTCCTCTCCTGGCTGACGGGGGACTGCTGGGTCCCAGGATGCTCACTCCCACGTTCATCGGGAGGATGGAGGGAAACCTCCCCTTAACAGAGAAAGACAGCGTCACTGCAAAGCGAGGCACTGGGCTGGTCTTCACTCGTGTGTAGGTGAACAAATTCCTGATGCAGAGAATATAATTACAATACAAAGACATGCTTTTGAATTCCAGGTCTACCACTTTTAAACAATTGGCATAGAGAACAGAATTTAGCCTCTGTCATGGTTTTCTCATCTGTAGGGTGCACCAACTCCTAGCATCGTTTTAAGAATTCAGGGGAGCGATGCATGTAAGCCCCTAGCACAGGGAACTCCCTCAGCCCTGCTCAGGAAGAGAAAGGTCCCCCTGGTTTCAGGAGAGGCGGAAGGGAGCAGACCTTGTAGGCTTCGTCGATGTTGGCGTTCACACAGTGCTGGATCATCTCCTTCACCAGCAGGGGGTGCGGCTCATCGCAGACCTGGCCAAACCG